CGGGTTCTAAACTAGGTTACTGTAACTAGTTGATGTAGGAATACCGTAAATTGTTACTATGAGCTAAATAACGTTTTTTGGAATTAATCTAAAACATGTGTTTCAATCTAGAATTATTACAGTAACCTAACAGGTAACTTTTATCTGACAAGAGTAATGTAGGACAGCTACTATCTGGTCTACGTAAAATTAGTGTAGATTTATTATTGTATAATTTACTGAGCTCTTTCGCGGTCAGTATTGATAGACAGTTATGAATGGAAGTGTACAATACTTCTGCGAAATTCTGCAGAAGTTTCTACATTAGGTATCGTTTACGATCGTTAATTGCTGTGTCCACCATCAAGAAGTACAGGATACGGTAAAGGCACAATGGAGTTGGCTAAGTACTAGCAGTAAAATACACTTAAGATGTTTTTTGAAGTCTCATTAGTTTAATTTCATGGCGATCATTCTTTGCGTAGATCTTGTGTCTTACTTGATAACCTCAAATAATAAGGTAATTAAATATACTTCGAGTACTATAGCATCATTTTTGATTCTCTTCCTCTTTGGTAGTCACAAACACATAGATGCTAGAAGTTTCATAATTATTCCAAAAACCTCTTTTGCATTTTTTTTTAATTTAAAAAATTTTCATCCCTGATGAATGAAAAGAGTATATAGGTTATTTCGTTTACAGTTTGGAATTTTCTGATTTCTAGGAAATGGCCGAGTGCCAATCAGATGAGCTCCAAGCTCGAATGTCAGCATATGCTAGCGGAGAAATGGATGTAGCTGCACTGGTAGATGATTCGCACCATAAAGCCCGATTATTAGAGGAGTGTGACCAGCTCAAAAGTCGATTGTCGCAGGTGAGGATGCTCTCATGACGAAAATGACTGTGGTAGAGTATGCATATGAATCATCTCAATTGTGTAGGCCAATGAACGCGTGCAAGAAGTGGAGGCTAAGTGGATCACCGACAAAGCGGCACTCGATCGTCGACTACTGGATCTTGTAAGAGAACGAGATCGAATGCAGAAGGAGCATGAAGCCCAGGAAGGTACATGGAAAAAGACAATGAGTGAGAAAGATAAACAAGCTAGAGAGAAGCAAGCAAGACTTGAACAACGAATACAAGAGTTGGAAGCTATCCAGAAGACAATGCAGGGTTTGTTGATCAACGATTTTTAAAGTCGTTGATTCTTTACAAGAATACTACCTTTCAGCCGGCCTACAAGTTCAACAACAAGGCAAGTCCCCGCCTACGCCCCCGCCACCGGCCCCCGGTCCTCATCGCGAGAACGGCGCCCCGTCACC